CTCTGTCGGATCGAGATCTTCACGGACAATTTTCAGACCCAGTGAGAGCGCTGTTTTGATAAGCTGCTCGCACACAAGCTAAAAAAACCTGATCAAAATTTTTGGCAAAGGAATTGAGCAGCTTCCGATTGCGTAAATTTGCTTTTGGTGTACAAGAGCGGTGCAACTCATCATTACTAGCCTCTTCATAAACCGATGAAAGCGGTAAAAAGTAAAAACAAAAAGACTGAAGAATCGCTCACTAACTTTTAATGGAACTCCAACTAAGCATTTATCTTTTGATTTTATTTTAGCAATTTCATAAATATGTTTCACCGTGATTTTCCCACATACTTCTTTCCCTGAAAATATTTGCACAGTATGAAATGCATACTCAATTTATTACTTTCGAAGTTCACGTGGACCATGTAAATAACGCACTGTCCCCTTCTGGATAAGTTCCGAGTCTCCTTAGACTTATTCGGAGACAACTGAAATCTTCTATCTTCAATCAAGTCTCGCGCAGATCGCAGTATAATAAAAGAGCACGAGAAAATCACTAAGCCGGTGAAATGCACAAGAAACAGGCAAAAAAACGACACATCTAACACTTCCTCTTTTTTTTTTTATCGAGAAAAAGCATCGATGACGGCCGACCCGACTTAATAACTAAGAGTAATTCGAATTTATAACAACCAATACTTCATGATATCCGTCCCTTTCAATGATAAAATTGTTCTTGCGTATATCAAAGAAACAGAAAAGAAACCTCCTCAGATTGCTTCTGAGCAATCTTCGAAAAAAGAATCTATCGAAAGCAGTTCTGCTAGCATCCGGTTACTTCTGAGTGTCTCTGATAATAACAGAGAACGGGATTCGAAGCAGATTTTAACTTTTTTTTCAATTTCATTCAGTTATTTGCTTCATAAAATTAGGCTTTTTTCTATCGTAATTTACATTTCCCTAAGTGGAGTTTACGCACATTCTATGGCAAATTGCACCACTACTTACATGGATTAGACGCTCCACGTCTTATTCCAGCTGCACGCATCAATAACCACATCGATGTTGGTGTACAGATTTCCATATCATATGACCTGTCCGGTTTTACTGTGACCCGTACTGGGAGTGGGACGCCTAAATTTTAATACAACACTTATTTTAAGTTAAATTTTCAAGGCATGATAGCTTGTGCTTAGGTTACATAACATGTTTCTGATAGATTTCAATTGCCGCGTTGTCGCCTCAAATTATAAGCATCAATATTTTTAATCTATTATAAAAAATTCACTAAAAAAATCGTGACAACTGGCATAAAAGGGTAATTTGACCCTCCCCCCTTCCCCAAAAGTTTTCCGAATAGACTGTTCCCCAACAAACACAGACAGCCACGAACGTCCAGAAATGTAAGTAAGCAAAGAAGCAGTCTCAGGAATTTGAGAGAAACAGCGCGCTCTATACACCATATCCTAAGCCAAACAGAAGAAAAACTTATATTCACGACATCGCTTTTACAGGGAGTAGTTGGAAGGATGGAGGAGGGGAGGGGAAGGGAGGGGAGGGAGGTTCATTTCTGAATACTGCTCGCGTCTGTAGAGATGGATCGGGTACCAGATCAAGGCAAAAACGTGGAAGTCAAAACCTGCTACCAGGATGAACTGATAATACTGGTACTTATCATCGTCATTCCTTTGGTTGCGAAGACTACCGGAGTAAAACTCTCAATGTTAGACAGCAGAGAACTTTGTAATTGAAAAAGGATATTACCTGGTTTGATGTGACTAGTGGCCCTGTTGAAATCCTTGCAAAAATTAGCCACATTAATGCCCCGTTTACCCAGGAATGGACCCAACGGTGGCGCTGCTGTTGCCATCTGTGCCCTAAAAAAAGTCCCACAGAATCCACTACACAATCTACCATTGGAGAGATGACAAATAACTTTATAGTGCGACAATATGCTAAGATAGCTATTACTTCTGAATGTATTTAGCACTGATGGAGTTAATACTCCCTATTTTGGTACTGTTCGCAGAAGAAAACATTTGCTTCTCTCTCTCTCTCTCGTTTTCAAACAAATCCAGCATTTTATAAATGAATTTCTGATTGACGGGATTCACGGCATATTCCCCTCACTCTTCGAAAAATTTCAGGACCTCTTTGCCTGAATTAAGCGCCTGGCTAAGGAACTTCAATATCAGCCTTCTAACTTGGGTCGTCATCAGTCACTTTTTAGGGTAAATATAGACCAGCTGGAATCCCGAATCGTATATTCCCTAACCTGTCCGGATGATTCTGGCATGCACAAAGAGATTGTTCCCTAAGCA